TTTGGTAAGCTACGAAGCCGCACTGCTTGATGGATTGCCGGAGCATTACGGCTGCCGTAGTCCGCAGCCTTGCAGAGTAATCTGGGTCCAAAACTCCGTCCACTTCAGGTTCCAAAGTCAAACGAACACTGCGCTATCACTGAGAGATAAAAACTGTCTAAATTCTTTCATTTTTAATAAAATGATCAGCGTTGCTGCTTTACCAGGTGTAACAATTAAGTTTAACATCCAGGCATCCATGGAAACAGAATTTATTAAATTTAACAGAGTTAGAAGTTAGCAGGAAGTTAGCTCGCTAGTTTCCATCTAAACATGATATAGCATGTTCTGACTGAGAGATTTCTGAAAAAATCAAAACGTACAGCTCTGCTATCACTTCCAACATAAATGAAGACAGAAAACTAAACAGCAGTGATGTTTGTAGGGTTACTAAAGTTGGGCTAGCTGGTTTATAATGATGTGCTACCTGATCACTAGCGACACAGCTATGTTAGAATAACATAAACACAGTGAAGCTGGAGGATGAACGCTAACTTTTTTCCACTTGATAAAAGTTTACGCGAAGGTTCCTGATGGTTAGGGACAAATGCAATCGCATGGAGGATGCTGTAAACGGACCAGACTTCAGTCAGGAGAACAACTGAGATAATTCATCCACAATACGAGGTTAGTTATTAATCATTAATCATTAGTCATTAATATACTGCAACAACATGGGGGTAGAGCCGCTGGAGAGAATTCAGCATTAATGAATCAGTGGTATGGAAGAGGAAGCAAGTAAATGAGTTGAGTAAAGTTTGACTTATCTGACTTTGTTTTGCTTAATGAGCTTATAATCTGGTGCGCCTTATGTATGACAACAGACCCGTTTATCGACAGTGCGCCTTATGGTCTGAAAAATATGGTAACAGTCGACTGCGGAATATTTAGAAGCATGGGAATTTCAGGACTTGTAGATCTTCATTGATTTATCAAACTATATCAGACTCCTTTCTCAAAGTTTTACTCTTCCAGAGTAAATAGACATGGACATTTCTCACTTGTCATTGAGAACTGAGGTAAAAAGTGGCCTTCTACAGATGGTAAAAACTCTGGGGAAGATCTGGATCTATTTCAGTAGTAGTAGAAACATGTCAGCTACTGCTGTTGTGGGGTGCAGTCTAAATTCAATGTTTCTGATCATTCCTGCCTGACTAAACCATGATTGTCTTAAGGCAGCCACTGTCGCTGGGATTATTTACTTGAATTGGGAGGAGTCAGAAAATAGAAGTAATTTGGTTGGAATCTGCAATCTACTGTAGTGGTGAAATTTCACACATTGTAACTTATAAAAAGGTGAGCATTGACCTATCTATGCTATAGATTTGGTTTAGCCTCATGCTAAATATGCTAATTTAGCATCTTGCCCAATTTAACCTTAAAAAAAACAACTTTTTTTTGTCTTTTTTCTGTATATGTTCTAATGTGATGAGATGTATAAACACAAGGATATAGGAAGACATAGACCACTGTCTTTCACCACATAAAAGTCTTCAGCAAGTGCGACACACACAAAATTACTTTTTACTTTGTGTGACATATTTTCTGCTAGTGAGATTGTCTTGACACTCTGACACCTTGTGCGATAGATTTGTTACTTCTGTCAGAGATTTTCATTTATTTATATTTTTTCTTATTGGCACAAAGAGCTCTAGTGTGCCTTCTGACGTTAAATTGATTAAATTGATTGTAATATTTTGTATTTTACTGATTATAATACTATTTGCAGCGATTAGAACCAGACTTTACCATTACCTGATTGGAAGTGGGGTGTGTATGTACTCTAAAAGCCGATTAGGAAAGCTATGGCATTGCCACCCACTGTCTTGGTGGTAATTTGCACCTGCATTCAATACTGAAATTAGTAAATATCATGTGGCTCAGAAGGCACTTTTCCAAACGCCATCATTACATTCGAGATGGAGGACATCTCAAATTCGTACAAGATGTACCCAGAAAGTGAGCATATTATTATCCACTGGTTTGATTTGGAGATGATTTGAAATCTAGAGAATGTCTTTATGTTCAAGGACATATTTTTTCCAGCACTTCTAAGCTAAGCACTGAGCATCATTTGCATATTAGTACAATGTGCAAAGGCAACAACTGAGGGCATGATTCTTAATGGCAATATACTGATATCTATGGTGAGTGGGGTTAGCGTGAGAGTGGGTAATGTCCAGTTTCATGAACAGTACTGTTTAGCAGTTGAAAACTGATCAAATTCTTATGACTGGATTTGGACTATACATTTCTAGCAGAGGAAATTAAGAATAGAATTAAAGAAAGAATACGGTTTCCATGTCATGTTGCTGTTGCTGCTCATTTTTAAATGTGTTTCGTATTGTATGTAAGTGCAGTATAAAATCAATGGGGAATGTACAGTGCAAAGTACACAACTGCAAAGATTTTTTCTCATTCCTTAAGATCCCTTATTTACCAGCCATACAACTCTGCTGTGTCACCTTAGTGGCTAACATGACAGAGCATTAGCTGGATGTGATTTTAAACTAATCCTTCATGTCTTTTGCATCCTTATGGCTAAATGATGATGCATCAGGGTGAAGTTTAGCATTTCTTAATCTTTTTTTTATATGTGCGTGTATCTGTGAGTGTGTGTGTGTATGTGCACTCTGTCTGAGTCTGGTGTGTGTAAGCATTCTAATCATGCAGCCTACTGTTATGGCTGATCATATAGAAAAATCAATACCAAAACTTAGAAATCTGTGATTTTATACAGGAGGGGAAATCATTTGATTCCATGGTGAATTTGTATGTTTGGTTACTTAAAACTGAACAGTCTGTAATTTTTTTATGGTCGTTTCATTTAAATGGAGGGAGAAAGAATATCAACCAAAAATCTGAAAGAAACACATTACATAAAAGTTGTGAATTGATTTTTGTCCCATCTTTCTCCCCTCACCCCCAACTGGTCAGACTCGGAGTCTGGTTCTGCTGAAGGTTTCTTCCTGTTAAAATTAGTTTTTCATTCCCAATTTACCAAGTGCTTGCTCACAGGTCGTTGTCTGACTGTTGGGTTTTTTACTGGATTATTGTAGCTTACAATATAATGAGCCTTGAGGTGACTGATTTGACACTTGATCAGTTGATACCAAAGAGTTGATTTTGGTTTCATCTGACGAACGCACTTTCTCCCAGGCATTCTATGAATTGTTTAGATGTTCACTGGCAAACTTAAAATGAGCCTGTACATGTGCCATCTTGAGTAGGGGGACCTTGAGGCAGTTGCAAGATTTCATTACAACGTATGTGTGTTACCAATGGTGTTCTTATTGACTATGGTATACTTTAAACACATCAGGAGAAATCAGAAGTATTTGTAATTGATTCCTTGATTGATCAATTGTAATCCCAATCAGCGGGAGCCAGCATTCTGGCTGGGTTAAAACAAATTCATGGTTTTAACCCGAAGGTCAATCTGAAAAAACATTAAAATGGCTACAACTGTTACTCTGATCAAGTCTGACAACTATCAACTATAACAGAAGTTATAGATTGGAGACTTTTGTGATTCATATACATGTATATGTCGTAGTATTTGTATTTGTAGTATTTGTATTAGTATTAAACTCGTCGTCTGGCATACATGGAAGTAAGGAGAAAAGAGAAGGCCAGTTTTACTGGATGTAAAATTCCTTTAAACTGTGCTTTTTTACCATGTGACTAAAATGCACCTTGCCCTTAAGTGGTTAACTGGTGATTGGACAGGTGTTAAGAGGTTAAAGTCTTAAATCTTGATTAAAAAATAAATATGAAACTTCTGCACAGAAACAATTCTTCTGTATTACGACTTTGGTCAGGGGAAGTTGGCTGCAGTCCAATTTAATTATTTCTTTACAGTAAAACTTTTATTTTAAGCAGCAAAATTAACTTCAACCTCTTCTAACTTCCATGGCTTTATAACCGTCTTTAACCCTGTTCCACACAGATAATAGCTTGTGTTTTTCAGACGTCCCCCCGCGACACTTTGGTTTTTCTCACAACAGACAGTGACATGCTCCTTCCGGGCTAGTCCACTGGAACCTGCTTGTCCACCCGTCCTTCCACCAGCTTTATGTAGATCAATATTTGAGTAGCTGCAACAGAGGTGTGTTTGTGGAGCTCCCTATCTCTGTGGGGCAGCCTGTTATAGTGTCAGGTTTGGAGGATGGGAGTTCAGGGTGTGTGTAAGCCCAGGATGACCTGACAGCTTAGATATTTAATAACTGTCTTAACCTGGCCTTCCAGTGGCTGTGCTGCAGAGTTATGAATATGGCTGCACTTTCAACCTTACACCCCAGCGGGGCTTGAAAGGAAAAAACATGAAAGAACAGAGAGGATTTGGCTTTTACACTCTTCACCTCTATCATAGTGCTGGTAATAGTCAGTCTCCCCACTGGTCAAATGTAATCTCAACCCACACATACCTGAGGGTAAGGTTGCTCAAAGTCCCAGAAGAGTTAGTCAAAAGGGTTAGCTTTTATTTTTTATATAATGTTGTAATTTATTTTTTGGGGAAAACAAGTTTTCTTCTGCCTCAAGAATATCTTCCTTTAAAAACTTTGTTTAGGTATTTAAAGTCACAATTTTCAAAGCTGGCAGCAGGAGCATCCATCCATCCATAGCTTGGGCTACTCCAAGACGAGGATGTATCTGCAATAAGATATATTATTCAGTATTTACTGTTTGATTTATAAGAGACTAAATGCGGTGAACCATAATCTTATCTGATAAATGTGTGTTGTGATTCGTATTTGGCAAAGGTATTTAAAATAAAATCCTTCTTAACAACCATCAAATTGGTGTAGTAGCACTTTCAAAATCAAATATAGATTTATAGACACACACACATTTTCTGGTTATATATTATTATAGTAATACAGTATTGGCATATCTAATATCTTCTCAGTCTTTAGTAAATGTACTCTCTTTTTGCTTTCACACCATGTTTTTTTTCCCAGGCACTCCACTCAGCAGCAAACCAACAAAGTCATCACCAGCACAAGCCAACTCATCAAACAGCTCTCTGATATAATCAGTGGCTCTTCACGGGTATTTTATGCTCCCTTTCCTCCCTCACTGAATATTAGTTTGAAGAATAAACAGTAGATTAAACAACATTTGAGCTAATTGAATCTAATTCTGTTTTGTTGCACAGCAAGACCGTCTGCGACTGACCAGACTAAAGACTGAGCTCTCTGAGTCTGTGCAGCGATATGGGGATCTCCAAAAGGTATTTGCATGTTGAATGCACTCCTTTGACACCTGAAATTGATGCTATGGTCATTTAGTTTTACTGAAAAGAGAACTAAAGAGATGCTGTTCCACAGATGCAAAGTCACATTTGTGCTACTTGTTGTGAGAGTCCTTGACCCTGTCTTCTCATATGCTCCTCTTTCAGAAAATTGCGGAACGCTCAAGGGCCCTGCTCCCTCCAGCACAGAAAGACAAGAAGAAGGTGAGCTGATATGGAGAGCAAAATCCTCCTTTTGTTTCACTGTCATTCGTAACAAAGTAGGATGATGAGATGGCATTTCTCCGCTCAGCTGCATTCTCACAAGGGCTCCTTTGAAGCTCAGTCTGGTCTCTTCCACTCTGTTATAATACAGTGGACTCCATTCATCACATCCCGCTCTTGTGTGCTGTGAAATTTCTTTCATCTGATTCTAATTTTGTCACCGGTGACAGTTTATTTTCACCATGTGGCCCAGCGAGAGCCAAGAGATGGGAGCTTGTGTTGAAGATATTAAAGTAACTCCTCATAGCCTGCCCGTGCACAGTTCCTTATCCCTGATTACTGAAACCAGACCATATGAAGTTAAATGTATTGAATATTCTTTGTACATGAGATGTGCACAAGTAATAAAACAGCAAATTTATCAAGGTGAATTTACGCATGTGCTTAAGGTTTGGTTCAGCACTTGCTGTAGAAACACTATTACCAAGCATAAAATATAAATATTCAACCCAAACGGTGGTGTTTTAAAGGGGACCTGTTATAATCATTTTAGATGCTGGATGCTCAGATTTATCTAAGAAACCTCCCCAGACAGAAACTCTCTGTTCGCCCTTCAGACTTCGTATCACAAACGAGGGCAAAGCGAAGAGCTCAACTGTGATTTGTACCAGTTTTAACCTTCCAATATGCGATCGTCCCCCCCCCCCCAGTTATGCCAGTTTTAGAAATCCTTCCTAATGTTTTCTCACATGTGAAGGCTGGTGAATCAAAACAGCCCATTAAAATATTCATACAAGTAAAACTACTAACATGTTAAACATTATGTAATAATGCCGAAACCTGTTTATTCAGGTTAAAAACCTACTTGTCATGTGAGAAGTTATTAATAAAATATTTGTCAGATGTCCTCTCGTTTCTTATGGTAGTTTATTGTACATTATGTGTGTTATTAGCTCTCAGCTTGTTAACTGACATGAGTGGAATACTACATTGGAAGCTCAACACAGCCAAGCTTTATTTGCATTAACTGGATTGACAAAACTTAAAACCCCAGTCAGAGGTAACAGGTATCATGACAGCGTTGATCAATTTTCATGGTTAAGTCAGGCTTTGTGCTTCAGACTCTGTTCACACCCAAAGGTGCGGATCACGTGCCATATGACTCTTCTTCTGCATACAAAGATGCCTATAAGTACTCCTGACATAATGCACAACAGTGATAAAGAGCTATGAAGAACATTAGAAAAATAACAGTAAATGTAACACACTGGCATCACAGGCTTAAAGGACTTACCAGGGTGTACACTACTTCTCGGCCCAGCAGCTGGACTTGTTTCCAGCCTCTCTGTGACCATGACTTGGAAAAGCAAAGAAAATAAAATTCAACATTGCTGAAAAAAAACACACACAAGTATTTAATGCTGCAGAAAATCATTAATTTGGGGATTTAGTGCGAAGAACAGAAAATAAATATTTAAATTCCAGTTAATTATTTAAACACTGAGATATTTCTAAGGTGACAGCCTTTAGAACTGTGACACCTTAAACTGGATGCATTTAAACAGTAATGCATACCATGCCATACGCTGATAAAGGAGATGTGGAAATCAGTTTATTTTGTCACTGATCAAAGTGAAATTCATTTTATTGGTTGAAGAGGTATTCTTGGTATGTGTTCTGTATTCTGTCAACTGCAGCAGTATAAAACAGACTTTGAACCAAGTTTAAAAACATTTTTACCTTTTCTGCATCATCAGTGGAGTTCATGTGGATTCAAGTGACAATGTGATGCGGTTTGCACTGCTGTCACTTTACAGCTGGACGTGACATTAGTAAGGTAACAACACATTAATACAAGAGAAAATCTCTACTGCACCTAAAACATGTAAATAAAGAATCAGTCGAAAATCTTTTAGCCAATTTCAAACCAAAAGTTACGTTTTCAGCATACGTTACCATGGTGATTTAGCGAGGTAATAAGAGAGAAATGTTTGTGGCCCAAAACACTCTGACTTTGTACTTGACGTAGCACACTTAACCCATTAATCTTTCTTCATTGTACAACCCTCAATACTGCAAGGGAGATGGTTGGATCAACGTTCAAAATAAGGAAAGCAACTTTTCTTTTTGAAATCTATCTTTGATCTAAAAATATCATCAAATCAGATCCATTCTTTCTCTGGACAATATATCCAACAGTTTTTAGAGAGAATAAAATTTCTATATTTTTTGTGTACTTTGCCAAGTTAGCTGGCTGATGTTATTGTTTGGGTTCTAGACATATTTGAGTTTCTTTTTAGGTTTTACTGGTATTCTAGTGTTGACCCTGAGATAGGCTGGCGACCTATTCAGGGTGTACCTCACCCCTCATAATATAGAATGAAAAAGACAGCTGCAAAAATAATCTTTTACACTAAGTGGATAAAGTATAGTGTACAATTGATTGCATGCTCAATCATCCAGGTAAGACACTTGAATGAGTAACTAAACATTTCTCCTACTGAAAACGGTACATCTAGATGAACAGAATCAACGTTTTGGGAGCTTAGTTCTTGGGACATTCATTTCTGATATAGCCTATCATTAGCATTTAGCTTCTTGTAATTCCATTTTATAAAAGTACAAGCTTCAAATTTTACAAACTTGTACAATTTTGTAATATTAGTGTGAACATTATCTTGTAAAGTAAGTTAAAAAAATATTTTGTTGTGAATATGTTTCTACTGCTGTAAATTGTTTGGGTAATTGGGGAGAAACTACAATGACATGTAGGTGTATCACGTATAGCTAAGAGGAAGCAGCTCTCTTTCTCACTCAATATCCACCAGGGTGTTTGAAGGTCTCAAACATGCTTTTCTGTTAAGCTGAAAGGAGAATGACTTGCAGTTTGAACTGGTTGAACAGTATTCTGCAAAGAACCATTGTTACTACACACACCCTCTAAAAAGCCATCTTATTTTTTTGCCCAAACAGAGAGATGACTCATGTGTATTAATGTTTTATGCCTCCCTGAAGGCCTATAACTAAGGTCTATTATTCTGCAAGCTTTAGAGATAAAGGGCTATGGAGGTGGCAAACTGTATAATACATTACACAACTTAAACTACATTCAATGCATAGCAGGAAGCTCTCTAATCAGTGCATATATTATGGAAGAATCAACTGGTCAAATATCATTTTATGTAACCACAACAACAATATTCTGACTTCTCTGCTGTACATGAAGTAGAAGACGTTAGTAGACAGGAAGTGATGAGAGGTACCCTGACGTTTGGAACGTCATCCTTATACATGCAGAAAATCACTTTTCAAACCAATGCAGACTGTTTCCCACACACATCTTCAAATGAACATCATCATAGATGACCGGAATCAACAGCAGGGAGCTGTGTGAACGTTTCTACCAGTGTGTGAACTTGTGCAATAATGTGTCAGAATGATTGTCTTGAGAGTCCCTTTCCATCCATGTAATGTACTAATATATTCTGGGGTGTTATGTATGTATGTATGTGGAGGAGTGAACACCCAGAGTGTGCTAAGGAATGGTGAGTCACAACATGGCCAGTAGACAGAGTGCTGTGACTAAGCCTGAGTTAGTTCCTGTGCTCTGACCCACACTGGTCCCTCTACCATGAATTAGCTGTGCACTCAACCACACAAAGGTGAAACACATTAGCAATGCAAAAGAGTAAGCAGACCTCGCTCCGTGTCTCTCCTCTTCCCTTATGCTTTTGCTTGCACATGAAACAAAATGTGTGCATGTACCACATGTAGCCTCAACATTCACGATCTCCACTAACACACAGTATATACTGATAATGGCTACACCACATGCTCGTAACAGAAATGTTAACAAATTTGTACCAAAGCAAATTCATGTTTTTAACCAGAAGGTCAATCGGGAAAAAAAAAACATTAAAATGGCTACAACTGTTACTCTGATCAAGTCTGACAACTATCAACTATAACAGAAGTTATAGTAGAAGATTGGAGACTTTTGTGATTCATATACATATATATATATATATGTCATAGTATTTGTATTTGTAGTATTTGTAGTAGTATTAAAGTCCTTAGTCAATAGACCTCTCTGCATTGTTATTAATCTCTGTCTCTCTTCCACAGCATGTCTTTATCCTGTCTCCCTTCTCTCACCCCAACCAGTCGCAGCTGAGCCTGGTTCTGTGGGAGGTTTCTTCCTGTTAAAAGGGAGTTTTTCCTTCCCACTGTCGCCAAAGTGCTTGCTCATAGGGGGTTGTATGATTGTTGGGATTTTCTCTGTATGTATTAGTGTAGGGTCTGCCTTACAATATAAAGCGCCCTGAAGCGACTGATGTTGTGATTTGGCGTTATATAAATAAAATAAAATTGAATTAAATAAACCTTTGACACAAAAAACTGCTTATACAGTTTCTGTGATGTACACAAAGAGCAAAATACAGAAAAAATCTGCACTGATGCACTTGTAGCTGCTGATTTAAGAACAGGAAAACTAGGGAGCCAAATGTACAGCTGGAGTTTTGCTAAAAGAAATTTATTTAATGGTTAGCTTAAAGTAGGTTATATAATAAATAGGTACATAAATGTAACATTAATTAATCAATTTTATTTGTCAGTGCATTTATATTTATATAGCACTAAATCACAATAACAATCACTTTAATGTGTTTTATATTGTTATACTGTACTGCCATAATAGAGAGAAAACCATAGCAATCTCCTTTCCCTCTATGAGCAAGCACTTGCTGAAAGTGGGAAGAAAATCTCCCTTTTAACAGGAAGAAACCTCCAGCCGAACCAGGTTCAAGAAGAGCAGCTTTCTGCTGAAAGTGGTTGGGGCTGATAGAGGGTAATAATGTTTAGCTAAATATAATTACTTTTTGCTTACAAAATATCAAATGAAATAATAATTTTGAAGCAATAAGATCATTTAGCGAAAAGTGAATGAAGCCAAGACAAGATAAATTGAAATTACATTATAATAATAGAAATGCAAAAAAATTGTTAATGATGCTAATTACACATTTGAAATGTGTAAAATGCTTAGTCAAAAATATATTTTCACTGCTGTTGTTATATTTTATTCGGACACATATCACTAACAAAACCCATCAAGCTCAGAGTTGGATTGTCCATGAATTTTAAGATGAGAGATAAAAGACAGCAGTAACTGGTAGTTGCTGTGATAATAAGTTGCTGCTACTTAATCAACAACCCAAGCACTTGTATTCCCAGGCAACAGACAAAGTAACTGCTCACTGTCTGAATTTTTGCTGTTACTGCTATACCTTTTAAATCTAATAAAAGAAAATGTCTTTGCTCTCACAGAGTCCTCAGACTCCATCCAGTGAGCAGATAGAGGAGGGTCCACTGTTTGGAGCAGGCTCAGAGGGAGGAAGTCAGGCTTTCCTGTCTGAGATCAGTGAGGAGGACGTGGAGGTGCTCCGTCAGAGAGAGGAGGCCTTGCTTCAGATTGAGGTAAGAACAGTGACATATAATCAGCTCAGCTGAATTCATCAGACACAGAGCTCATATATTTCTCCTACTCAAACACCTACTAGAACAATTCCAATCAGCTGATGGTCAATGAACAGCTCCACAGAAGCTGCTGGAGATTAGAAGCCTTACTTAACTATGACTGCACCACACGCCATCAAAAAAGAAAAGAAAAATGGTGTGCGCAGTTTCCACAGTCAGTATAGGTTGTGCTTGTAATCACCACAGATGTGGTCCTGTGTACACATATGGACACTACTGTAGCCATCGTCTATTGCACCTTTCAGCAACTTTTTGCAGGCTGCCTGATTGTAAAGAGCTGTTTGTTGCACCGAAACTCTGCATTTTGTTGAGCTTATGAAACCCAGCTCAGCAGATCTGCACTGACACTCAGCTCCCCAGGTTTCTAAAATATTATACAGCAGTGGAGAAAAATACAGGAAACCAATATATGTAGTAGGAGAGGTTATTTGTTCTTAAAGCAGAGCTCATTTAGAGTGTTTTAAATTAACTGGTGTAATAAAAGCTTACTAATGCTTTGGCTCGAGTCAAAAGAAAATAGTGTGGTCATATTTCTCGGTATTGTGTACATACATTGTAAAAATAAATAATCCAAACCAAAAATAAATTAATTTTACTAATGAGCATTGTGTGCAGTGTGTGTATCATTTCCTGATAGATATTATCTGATTAATCTGTGCTAGTGAACTTTACTGTTGTCCAAAAGTGAGCATCAGTGAGACAGTCTGTTGCACTGATTCACTGATGCTCTTTCATTACAACCAGCACACACTGCTGTGTATTTGGATTTATTCTCACATATGCCCTCACTGCAAATAGTCCCTTACAAATCCATTCTCCTGTGTTGTATGAGCTCCCCTTGTTTTAGGAAGTGCCTCGGCCTTATTTAAAAAAATGAAAGTAATTGCCAATATAATAGAAGCAATAATGAGTCACTGTAGTGTCCAGTAATAGTCCTTTCACTTTCCGTGGTCAAGATTATCCACCAAATGCCAGACTACCCACGTCCATGATGAAATGGAAACAGGTATCTGAACAAAACTTGATCCAATTCCAAAACATTAATTTTACCTTCTCAATTGAAGAACAAACTGAAGGCAGAGAGAACCACAAATACGCAGCAACTGAAGGGAGGAAACACAGAATTTAAGTATTCCGTGTTTTTTTTATCTTCAAATAATTTTCACGCTGCTATTAAAAATAATCCATGTATATAAAATTGTTTATACATACAGTTTGAGCCTCTGAAAATGGGGTACAGTGTATTGAAATGACTGTAATTGAAAAGTTTTGTTAAACCCACTGAATTAAAGCTGAAAGTCTGCAATCACATCAATCATATCTTAGCTGTTTGCACACTACCAGAGTGGATTTTAAATCAGAGGTAAAAAGTGTCCAGGAACGTATGAAACTAATAGTAAGCCTCTTTACTTATACTCCTAGGATTACTAAACTTCTTGCACCGCAATGACAACTCATTTCCGTGTGCTGAAGTTATATGCAGTAAAAATAAAATATGCTGGCCATTTACTTTTAAAACAACCACATACCTGAAATACCACAGTTGAAGAAAACACTCTAAAAAAACGATGAAGAAAAACAAATTAGGCATTTGTTTTCTTCAAATACTGCCTCCCAGGAGGCCAACACATGCCAAGTTAGTAACTAGAAACTCAAACAGGCCTCGTCTTCGTCTCCCACCTCCAAAAGCTTATTAGTATTTTGTCACAGTACCCCCATGCTGCTGCAGGATATTGAATGCTGCCCAATTACTAAGGTGCTTATAGCCTTGTTTGTTCCCTTACCTAGGTAAAATGTGTATGGAATCATAATGCCTCTCAGCTAAAAAAAGTCAGCCACTCTGTTGCCAACACCCTTATCAATAATTGGGAAGATGCCCTTTCATTTGGGTGCTTATCCTGATTGCCAGTATTAGGTTAAGTGAAACTAGATAACAGAATGACACACTGGCTATGTTGAACTCACGTCATGGTAAAAGCCTCAGGTTGAGTGTTCAGTGCATTTTCAAAAAGGTATAGGGACTCAGAACATGCTCTTCAAAATTAGGGCAAATATCATCCTTGTTAGCTGCCAAATGCCACTGCTATGTTTGGCATCTCAAACTATGTCGATAAGCAGGTTATACAGGGTGGTGCCCACTGTGGTTTTAGGCGCCTTCTTGGTGGAACCCAGGTTAAAGCAATCAGGCTAAGACTATCGTTAAAAAAGACTTGAAAATTAACAAAGAGATTGAAAATGATAGCAACAGACAATGGCCCTAATCCAGGAAGCACCTCACAAATCTGGTTTTCTGTTCAAAAACGCAAGTGAACTTCCACTCTGAGTCAGTTACCATGGTAACAGACTGTGAACTAAACCTGCTCACTGGCAGGTTTTCTTCAACAAACTCTGAGTTTCTCTCTGACTCCTCCCCTAATGCTGCCCGTGAAACAGCTGAGTGCCACTCGATAGACTGTGGGAGGCAGCTGAGGGGTACCTGCAGGCCACGTACAACATGTATAGTGCAGGAGGAATGCTGCTGATTTCAACTGAGGATATAGTCAAGCGTTACAAGGAATTCTTTGAGGACCTCTTCAATCCCACTGACATGTCGTCTGTAGAGGAAGCAGATTCTTTAAACATTAAAGGGTTACCATCCCAAAGCCTAATACGTGAGACAGGGAAATCACTGCAGTTTTTCAGCACATCAAAGTGAAGTTAATTTTGATTGAACAGGTATTCTTGGTATTTTTACTGTATTCTAGTCGCTAGCCTAATAGTATGTTCAACTGCTACACTGTGTTAATATATACAAAGCCTCACTATTTGGATGATTGACCACTGTAACCACTTAACATCGACCGGATGTTTTGGGAGACAAATCCATGCCCAATCCAGACCTTCCCAATGTGTCCCCCCCCACACACACACACACAAAGTGTGGGCACAGAGCCATGGCAGGGGGGGTGCGGTATGAAAAAGAAGAAAACAAAACGCTTGGACACTGCTAGCACGGGGAGCCCACAGAAACCCAAAGCAGGAGATGAAGCGTCGCTGAATATGTTTCCAAACCAACTTCATTCTAAGCCAAAGACGAGAAAATCTGGTGAAGCAAATCTTCCCTTTGGCTTCACCTGCACAAGTGCCGAGGTAGGTCTCCCTGCAGGATTGGTTTTCTTTGCGTCAGGAGCAGCGCTGGGCTCTTCAAATCACGGACAAACAGGATCCCACATTCTTGATTTTTAGTTCACAAACACTTGTTGTAATGACTAACTGCTCCTGACATGTTGGAGATGTTTGCTCTTTATACAGTAAAGTTACAGCAGGATACAAATAATATCAGGCTGATCCTGCCACGATTTGTTCCCCCGGTTCAAATGACAGACAAACAGGATCCTACAGCTGTTTATGTTTTTAAACCCATTTTGCACAGAGAGGCATTTTTTGAAAAATGTATTGATAGCAATGTTGAATATTGTAATGGGCTAAGTTTCCATTCAGCTTAAACACTCCCAAAAAAATCTCCAGGACGCAGACGGTTGAACTCCAGGAGATTTTACTGGGCACTTTTGTGAAACTGTAAACACAATACAATGAAATATATGAAATGTATTATAGATGCAATAAGCTCAAAGCATCTGGCTAGTTATTACAGCTTGACAGCCTAGCCGCACAGCTTATATAATAAAGCCAACTGAATAACAGACAACAGTTCAAAACGCTTCACCGCTTAATTGTACAAAATGAATTATACTCACAGACTATGCCTTAGCGGAGGGAAAAGGATTAAACCTGTAACGGTGGAGCTGGCGACTGCGTGAGCCCACACACCAATATCCAGAGCCACACGGTAAATTTACTTCCTGACTCCCAGCGTGCACTGCTCTCATGTTGTCATGGTTACGAAAATACACAAGTCGCTCTAAGCTGCGATAACGAGATAAAAAGAACACATAAGAACACATTTCTGGAGGCATAACACTCCCCGCTTGGGATCTTTAAAGAGCCCACATCAATTGGCGGAATCGGACTTTGGAGAAAGAAGCAGAACTACTTCTGTAATAGGACGAGAGAATCCTCTTCTATTTCCATCCTTGACGACCTCCACTTCGACTCTCCGGACCAATCCATCCTTCCCTGGAAAGGTTTTCGTGATGATGCCCATGGGCCACTCATTTCTCTCTGCCTGATTATCCTTTAAGAGAACTACGTCCCCTTCTTGAAGATTCGGCTGTTTCCCTTGCCACTTGTGCCGAAGTTGCAGTGTTTTGAGGTATTCACGCCTCCATCTGTTCCAAAACATGTCTGCTAAGCTCTGAACTTGTTTCCACTCCTCTCTGAAAAGATCTGCTTCCTCGAACTTGCTTGACGGCAAAGGAGGCGTGGAACCTGTTTTGAGAGTCAGGAGCATTGCCGGTGTGAGGATGCAGGGCGACTCCGGGTCGGATGACACAGGGATGATCGGCCTTGCGTTCATAATTACAGCTACCTCGGCCATAAGCGTGGTCAGAACCTCGTGTGTCGGGCGAGACTTTCTCTGTTCAAGCAGCATGCAGTCCAAGATACGGCGGGCGATGCCGATCATCTTCTCCCATGCGCCACCCATATGAGATGCATGGGGTGGGTTAAACACCCAGGTGCAGCTCTGTTTGCTGAGGTACTTCTCCACCCTGTCAAACCCTGGGTTTTCCTTGTCCATCCCCAGCTCACAGGAAGCGCCAACGAAGTTAGTTCCGCAGTCCGAGCGTATCTGCTTCGCGGGGCCCCTGACCGCAAATAATCTCCTCAAGGCGTTAATAAAGCTGCTAGCACTCATGGCTTCGATCACCTCAATGTGCACCGCCCTGGAACACATACACGAGAACATCACCGCCCATCGCTTGGAGTTCGAGACTCCTCCTCTTGTGCGGCGTGAAACGACGTCCCATGGTCCAAAGACATCGACACCTACGTAGGTGAAG